TATTCCCTTTTCTTCTTGCAAAAGTCTTTGTTCAGAGATGAGACTAATGTGCCTTATTTCCACAAGTTTTTTCATTGATTTACTCAATACCTATGATACCCTAGTACTTGCTGTGAGTGTCCTCCTAGAAAAGAATGTCAGCTTCCTGGGAAAACTAAGGAAGACTCCAAAACTTGGAGTTCTGAAGACATGAATTAAATTCTTAAAGAACTAAATTTTGAAATTTGAGTAAGGGCCAACCAGGTAGAGACAAAACCACTCCAAAAAGATGGAGGAGTTCCTGTGAAGACAGGGTCTGAAAAGAATGCAAGGGTTAAAAATAAAACAAATGGCAGCGGATAGAGCATAGCTCGAGTGGAGTCGAGTCTGGGCAAAAAAGGTCCAATGGTTCCCAATTTTATGGGGAACCCACTCTCCAAGGGGCTGCTTGGAAATAAATGGGATCATATTGGATTGTCAAAAAGAAAAGAAGTTATAGTTTGCCATTGCCATTTAGTGCTGAGGGACCAGGTAAAATAAACATCCTACAATGTGCAGGACAATCCACACAGTGAAGAGTTGTCCATAAAAATGCCAGTAGAGTCCCCTTTGAGAAATACTGGTAAGAGATAAGGAATTAACAAAGTCTAGAGAATTTAACTGTAGGTACTCAGAGTATCCTTTAAAATCTGCAATCACAACCTCCATTTCACTCACTAAAGATTTACTAAGTACTAAAAGATAAACTAAGGCACATTAAAATTTTAAAGAGTTTATTTGAGGTCAGGCACGGTAATCCCAGCACTCTGGGAGGCCAAGGCAGGTGGACTGCTTGAGCCCAGGAATTTGAGACCAGCCTGGGCAACATGGTGAGACGCCATCTCTACAAAAAATACAAAAACTATCCTGGCATAGGAGTGCATATCTATAGTCCCAGCTACTTGGGAGGCTGAAGTGGGCAGATAGCTTGAGCCCAGGAAATCGAGGCTGCAGTGAGCCATAATTGCACTACTGCCCTCCAACCTGGGTGACACAGCAAGTTCCTGTCTCAAAAAACAAAAACAAGAAAATGTTTATAGCCAGCGCAGCGGCTCACCCCTGTAATCCCAGCACTTTGGGAAGCTGAGGCAGGTGGATCATCTGAAATCGAGAGTTTGAGACCAGCCTAACCAATATGGAGAATCCTCGTCTCTACTAAAAACATAAAATACTGGGTATGGTGGCACATGCCTGTAGTCCCAGTTATTTAGGAGGCTGAGAATTGCTTGAAGTCAGGAGGCAGAGGTTGCAGTGAGCCGAGATCACACCACTGCACTTCAGCCTGGCAACAGATGGAAACTCCGACTCAAAAAAAGAAAGAAAAAAAATATTTATTTGAACAGACAATGGTTAACCCATTTATACTGGAAGTTGTGTGACAAATCAGACCTTGGCAATGACCTTGAGCAGAATATAAATAATTCCTACAAGCTTAGCGTTCCAATAATGGAACACTAGGCATATTAATGAATTGTGCAGCTCCAGAATGCAAGCAATTTAGCACTGCACCAAAGGGACACAATTAGAAGGCATTTGAAGGCTTTTGTAGAGTGAACACAGAAGCAAGGCCAAGAATATATGTGATTGGTCAAAGTGGAGTAGCCTTACTTGGATCACTCCTGTAAGTTGGTGGTTAGTTAGTTGGTGCTTTCTGATTGGTTAAGCTAAAGTTTCACTTTCCTAGAATACAACCATTTATACTAAGTTGGGTGTAAGTTTGCTTATGTAGGAACTCAGGGCACTGGAGGCTCCTCAAGCAATGGACTCCCAATTAATTATTTTAACACAGAAAGCTATGTTTTTGCTGGGCAATGAACATTCCTTCTGTCCTTTGACCACTATGAAGCTCAGAACTTTGTGGTCTACCTTTAATAACTGTATAATATTTCACAGTATATTTTTAGTTATAATTCACCCTAATCACATCTTTCTATTCACGCTTCATATTCTCGTGATCTTGATTTCTCTTTATTGTGTATGTTATTATATATCATACGGTTTGTAAGCTAGCTCAAATACTTTTGGAACAAAATAGAGTAAAAATTTAAAACTATAAGCTACAAAAGTAAAATTAAAAAATAGGGGGAAAAAAAATAGATGTAAGATGGGAAGAAAAAAAATATTACACTGAGCCCCGAGAGCATCCTGAGAAGTTTAAGAGATTTTTTTTTGTTTTTTTTAAGGGGACGGGAGTCTCACTATTTCACCCAGACTGGAATGTAGTGGTACCCTTTCAGCAAACTGCAACCTCCACCACCCAGGTTTAAGTGATCCTTTCACCTCAGCCTCTTGAGTAGCTGGGACCACACATGTGCACTACCATGCCCAGCTAATTTTCTGAGGTTTCTATAGAGAAAGGATTTTGCCATGTTGCCCAGGCTGGTCTCAAACTCCTCAGCTTAGGTGATTGTCTGCCTCAACCTCCCAAAGTGCTGTGATTACAGGCATGAGCCACTGTACCCAGCCTCAGTTTAAGAGACTTTTAAAAAGCATAATACACAGTCTTTGCCTTCAATTGTTTGTAATCAATTTTTTTTTTCAGAATACACATTCTTTTCAAAGTAATCAAATTTGTAAGATTCAAATTGAAAAGAACATCAGAGAATAATGGATAATAAAAAAACAGTGATGAACGGTACAATCTGTTTAAAGAATTAGTAGGGATTAAAATAGTTAAAATCACACATATTACTATGTATTAAGAACTATGGCAACAAATCCTCATAGCAACTTTTTGAGATAAATTACTAGAATTTTCTTTATTTTATAGATAAGGAAATTGAGACAGAGAGAGGGTAATTTGTTCAAGGTAACACAGCTGTTAAGCGTAGCAATTTGACCTAAGGCAGTCTGGAACCAGAGCATGTGCCCTACAGGAGTCAGATTTCAGCTAATCCTTGAATTATAGGATTTAGAAAGAAAGAGATTGAAGGGATGGAGGCAGTGGCAGTGAACCTCAAACAGATTGAAATGACGTAGACCAGTAAAGAACCTGAACAGAGAGTATGGATTGAGGCATACTGGGCATCTGGGGACAGGGTGCAGGCAGTTTACAAACAGCCTTAAAACTCAGAGGAAGCTAGGAGAGGTAACTCTTGCCTTTAGTCCTCACTACTCAGGAGGCTGAGGCAGGTGGACTGCTTGAGCCCGTAAATCGAGGCTGTAGTGTCTCCTGATTGTGCCTGTAAATAGCCACTGCTCTCCAGCCTGGACAACTTACAGAGACCCCACCTCCTAAAAACAAACAAAAAAAACCAAAGGAGATTCCATTTAAAACAGCTGGCAATAGGAAACCATTGTAGGTTCTTGAGCTCAGAAGAGATGATAAACAGGTTTTCTCAGAAAGACATTACATGACAGTGATATTAAATAACCCTAGCTTTCAAGCTAAGCACTCTTCCTGGATTGAAAAAACCTATGTAATCAGGCAAATCCATTAGAGAAGTCTTGTCTCTGCAGTTTTCGGCAACCATTCCCTCATCAGGATTCCTTCAGGTATAGCTTATTCTCCTATTCTCCATTCCCCAACTTTCTAATTGCTTTATTATATTCAGGCCGATTGTCCCCTGAAAACATTTGTTATCAATAGATAATCACCAAATGATCTCTATGGCTTTATTTTTCCTAAGGTTCCCTGATTATATGTATGATTCAAATACAACCTCCTGAGTCCCAAACACATCTCTAGGCTTCAAAGATAATAACCAAATCAAGCCCATCTTAAGAAATCTTCTGTAAGCTTTACCTACTTATTTTTCCTAAAGGACTGCTTTACCTTTCTCTGAAATGTATTAGGCAACAGGAACTACTGTCAACACATAGTTTGTCCCAACACATTATACCTAACTTGAATAGCCCACCATGTAGCAAAATCTCAGTTAACCTGATCCTAAATAAAACAGAAGGTGGCAAGGGAAAAGCAGGGCACAGAGAATATAATCTTTTAACACTCACATTCAAACGTATGCAGTTTAGAACTACTATTTCAACTAATTTCTTCAATTTAAAATATCAATAACAACTTTTAAACTGCAATTTGCAAGACTTTAATTTCTCAATACTCAGGACTTATTTTTTGGTCAAGGTTCTGCAACATTTCCTCTGGTCAATGTTCAACCCTTCTGAAGCAATGAGAAAGGATTCTACATGGGATCCTAGGATGTATTTGAGTACACACAGGGTCTATGTTGTCCCACCCTGAGAAACATAAACTTGTTTTTGCCACTAAAGAATAGAGACCATCGTCCAATAACAAGTTATAAATATGACTCAAAGTGAACCTGCGACAAAGACTTATTAAACGCACAATGGAACAAGCTGAATGGCTTAGTGCACCCAGGAGCATCTGAGGAACTGACTATAAACACTGAAGAAAAAAATGATGGTATAAGTTTAATAGGTTAGATAGAAAAATGGTTAATAGCCCACAAGGCAATAAAACTACAACCTTTAGGAGTACTGTACTTTTTTCTCTCCCACTCAGAAATAATTTGCATCTCTAGTCATCAAAGATGTTAACTACAAAGCCTAGGCCCTAATCAGTATCATCATGCCAAACAAAATATAGTCCCCTAGAAATCTAAACCATCTTCAGATGGGCCTGTTAAACAGGCCTCACTTTGACTCTAAAAAGACATGTTGTCATCCTTTTGCCTTATTTCCAATACTATTGTAATTTTATCGCCACTAAAAGTTTCTATAAAGCAGTCAACTATTCCTTTATCATTCTCCCGCCCTCCCCGCCAATTCATCATTTTATAGGTTATCTGGGTGTTTTTTTAAAAAGAATAACCTTTTGGCGCTAAATACTGTATCAGGTTATTCCTCCTAATACTTAATGAATCTGAAACTTCAAATTAAGTTGCACTCAGCCACGGGAAGCCCCCAGTAATTTAATACGCTTTGTTTCGACGTCACGTGGTCAAAGACTTGCTATTTGCTATCAGCATGTGGATTTTAAACACAAGATAGTAACTACCCACTTGGAGGGTGCCGCCGCCTTTGGGTAGTGGCCCAGGAGCGCTGGTGACACCAGGTGCGCGACAAGGGGCGGATCCGCGGGGGAAGAGTGTCCTCGCCCTTCCCCGCTCGCCCCAAGCCCCGGGCGGTGCGGCCAGCACAGGCCCGCAGTTCCCCCCGAGGGGCCGCGTCCGCAGCCTTTTGTTCCGGGCTGGGCTGCTTCCCGCCTGCCCGCGCGCCTCGCCTCCCTGCACCAGGAGTAGGGGAGAACCGTGTGGGAGCAGAGCCGGAAGGAGGCGACCGGCAAGAGCTGTGGGAATACTCACCCGGCTCCGCTCGGCCCCTGGCCCCGCAGCCCAGCCCGGCGAGGGCGGGGCCACGGAGCCGAGGGGAGGAGAGCCGGGGAGAGGGGCTCAGCGCCCTGCGAGGCCACCGCCGCGCCGTTGGCCCTAGGGAGCTGGATGATGGGGCTGTGGGGACCTCGAGGGCGGTGGAGGAGCACAGCCAGCGCACCTCCAGGCCAACGAGAAGCGACCACAGCCTGCTTGTGTCAGCGCCGCCGGGCCGAAACCGAGCGTGCGCACATGCGCCTTCCCGCGCGCTGTGAGGGCCGCCCGGTGCAGGCCGGTGACGTGATCCGCCGCGCGCTCCGGGCAGGGGCGGGGCTGGGACCCAGGCCGGTACTGGGAGGGGTGGCGAGGTGGAAAGCGAGACCTCCCCGCCGCCCGGGTCCACCGTTGCCAAGGCCCCGCCCCTCCTTTCGCCGGTAGCTCTCACCCTCCCCCGCCGCCGCCACTTGCAACCGAACGCACGCGGTGCCCTCCGCGGAACACAAAGGCGGCTCGTTTAGGGGAAAGCGGGTTACTAGCACCCACCTAAGAGGTTGGAGAGCCATACCAGCACGCACACACTACAAAAAGTCCTGTAAACACAACAGGGCTACCCGTTGAAAACTTAAGGATGGAGGGAGAAGTTAGGAATTCGAAAATTGACAGTAGTACCATCTGTGGCACATATCTCAGAGGAGAAAAAAAAAAATCTCTAGCAGCAAAATTAAATTGGGGCGAAACGATGGGGATAAAGACTAGAAAAAAAAAGTAGGAGTAACAGGGGTGATCGAACTGAAATAGCAGACATCTGAAAGAAAACTAGCATCTGCTCCTTTTAACAACAGAGTTAAATTTGTTGGAAATGAAAGGAAAAAATGCAGGCGAAGAAGTGAAAGGAAAACCTGCCTTCAAACTACATGGCGGGGTTTTGATCTTGTACTTCAGTTGTGTAAGATGTCACCATTCGAGGAAACTAGGTGATAGGTACCTGGGACTCTAGGTGTTGTAGTACTTTTGCAATTTCCTGTGTCTATAATGATTTCCAAATAATAAGTATTTTTAAAAGAGAGAAAATACTGACGAGTGGCGACCAGGGCGAAGGTCTGGAGGATAGGGTTGACTTAAAAAGGAGCTTGTGAGCTTCTGTACTGTGACTGCTGGTGACTAAACCACTGTTTGTCAAAACCTATGAGGTATAAATTTTACTGCATGTAAAATACTTTAAAACTCAAAATAATGCAACTAATAAAAATGAACTTACCCTAAAATTTTTTAGCAACTATGGATATAAATTAATTGGTAGCTGCCAATTTAGATTATCCATTTAATTTTTTTAAAAACACAAGGCAGTGTGTTGTAAATGAGAGTTTAAGTAGGTGTCTCCATCAACTTTAAGTATTTACCTTAAAAACATATTTCACAAATGAAAACAAGAATGCAGCTGGGCACAGTGGCTCATGCCTGTAATCCCAGCACTTTTGGAGGCCAGATTAGGAGGATCGCTCGAGTCCAGGAGTTCGAGATCAACCTCGGCAACACAGTGGGACCTCATCTCTACAAAATGTTTTAAAAATAAGAATAAATTTTTAAAAATGGATCCATTGCTTCACATTGTATTCAATATTTTAGAAACAGTGCGCCAACTACCATGTTAATTTAAAAAAATATTTTTTGCACTGGAGGTGTTTTAGAGTTTAATAATTCACATGCCAAAAACAAAGAAACTAAAAGAAATAACTCAGTTAACCTCCATGTGCTTCCTCTCATCATATCCCTCATGGTAAAGAATGATATTGGCCTATTTATGTGTTTACCCCACAATTGTATAAAGTGCTTTAAGGCTGCGGTCTGTCATCGTAGCATTTCTAGGCTCAAGCAGGGCTCCTGTACCTCCCCTCTCTGATCACTGAAGTTCACTGAAAAATTTACTCACAAAGGGCAGAGTAATTGGAGGAAAGGCATGCAAGTATATTTAGCATGTATGCACGAGAGCCTTCAAAATGAAGACCCAAAGATACAGGAGAAATTGTATGTCCATTTGTACGTCCCACGAAGTATGGACAGCGGTGTAGAAATATGACTGGACAAGAGGGTATGCTCTAATGCTAATAGCCTGAGTGGGGAAACCCAGCAAGGCCTGTCTGTCTAGATTCTTCTTGGCCCCTCTGGGCATGCATTCCTTCCTTCCAGTTGCGGGGCAGGACCCTCTCTGCAATAAGGGTCTTAGGACCTACAGTCAGAAAATGTAGATCAGATAATTTCTTTACGGCCAGTTTTTACAAAGAAAGACAGGGGAAAATTAAAGTAGTATTTCCAGGATTTATGGCCAGCTTTGGGGAAAAGGGGTTCTGGTTTCCAAGGCCTGCCTAGGAAACCAGAACCCACTGTGTTGGCCGAGGTTGGTCTCGAACTCCTGGACTCGAGCGATCCTCCTAATTTGGCCTCCAAAAGTGCTTTTTCTATGGCTAGCCTCAGGGAGAATGAGACTGAGAGACAGGAAGGCAGGAGAAGGTCAGAGAAAAACTTGCTTCTGAGGCTGCTTCTGAGGGCTTCATTGTGAGGTATTGTTTTCTAGTCCCAATATTCCTAACTAGTAATAAGTATTCATTGAATAAAACAAGGAACTGATTGCAAAAAGAGTAAGTTTTGTTTTTTGGTTTTTGGTTTTTTTTCAAAAGATGTGGTTTTACCATGATGGCCAGGCTGATCTTGAACTCCTGACCTCAGGTGATCCACCCACCTCGACCTCCCAAAGTGCTAGGATTACAGGCATGAGCCACTGTGCCCGGCCAGAAGTTAAAATTTATTGAATGCTTACCATAGTCCAAAAGCTTTATATGTACATAATCTCATAACTTCATGACATACCCATTCTATAACGATATCTTAATTATTAAATCCCTTTTAATACTTATTTTATTATATTTTTGTTTCATTTGGACATGCTGCTGATTTCTAAATAGTCTTGCTTCTTTTAATTGCGTAAAACCCACAGTGTCCTGATTTTCCTTCCAGCTCTGTGGCTGTTCTTTTTTTTTTTTTTTTTTTTTTTTTGAGACAGAGTCTTGCTCTGTTGCCAAGCTAGAATACAGTAGCACTGTCTCGGCTCACTGCAACTTCCACCTCCCAGGTTCAAGCGATTCTTCTGCCTCAGTCTCTCTAGTAGCTAGGATTACAGGTGCCTGCCACCACGCCCAGCTAAGTCTTGTATTTTTAGTAGAGACTGGAGTTTCAACATGTTGGCCTGGATGGTCTTGATCTCCTGACCTCATAATCCATCTGCCTCGGCCTCCCAAAGTGCTGGAATTACAGGAGTGAGCCATCATACCCAGTCTAGCCACTTTTTTTCTTTTTTTCTTTTTTTTTTAAAGGCAGAGTCTCTTGCTCTTTCACCAAGGCTAGAATGCAATGGCCTGATCATAACTTACTATAACCTGGAATTCCTGGCCTCAAGCAATCCTCCTGCCTCAGCCTACCAAAGAGCTGGGATTACAGATGCAGCTCTTCTTTTTTCTCATTATTTTAGGCTTTTGTTTGTCCATTATACTTTAATGTTCATGTTTCACACAGAGCCTTCTAGAAGTTGAAACTTCAACTTTTTCGGTTTTTGTTTTAGTTTTCTGATACTCATGTAAAAATTTTTTAATACAAAATAGGGTTATACAAACTGCATTACATTCAAAGTCATTTTCCTTTAACCAATAAATATTTTTATTACCAAAAATTACAATGCAATATAAATATGTCTTTCAAGAGACAATTACAGGGTTTACTTTAAAATAATAATTCATATATCAAAACAGCATAATACTGGTACCAAAACAGATATAAGACTAATGGAACAGAACAGAGGTCTTGAAGGCAACGCCACACATCTACAACCATCTAATATTTGACAAACCTGACAAAAACAAGCAATGGGGAAAGGATTCCCTGTTTAATAAATGGTGTTGGGAAAACTGGCTAGCCCTGTGCAGAAACCAGAAACTGGACCCCTTCCTGACACCTTACACTAACATTAACTCCAGATGGATTAAAAACTTAAACATAAGACCTAACACCATAAAAACCCAGAAGAAAACGTAGGCAAAACCATTTAGGACATAGGCACAGGTAAGAACTTCATGACTAAAACACCAAAAGCTTGGCAACAAAAGCCAAAATAGACAACTAGGATCTAATTAAACTCCAGAGCTTCTGTACAGCAAAATAAACAATCATTAAAGCAAACCAGCAACCAACAGAGTATGAAAAAAATTTTGCAATCTACCCATCTGACAAAGGGCTGATATCCAGAATCTACGAAGAACTAAAACAGATTTACAAGAAAAAAACAAACAAACCCATTCAAAAGTGGGCAAAGGATATGAACAGACACTTTATAAAAGAAGACATACATGAGGCCAACAAACATATGAAAAAATGCTCATCATCACTGGTCATCAGAGAAATGCAAATCAAAACCACATTGAGATACCATCTGACAGTTAAAATGGTGATCATTAAAAAATCAGGAGACAACAGATGCTGGAGAGGATGTGGAGAAACAGGAACACTTTTACACCATTGATGGGAGTGTAAATTAGTTCAACCATTGTGGAAGACAGTGTGGCACTTCCTCAAGGACCTAGAAATAGAAATTCCATTTGACCCAGGAATCCAATTACTGGGTATATACCCAAAGGATTATAAATGATTCTGTTATAAAGACACATGCACATGTATGTTCACTGCGGCACTGTTTACAATAGCAAAGACTTGGAACCAACCCAAATGCCCACTGATGACAGACTGGACAAGGAAAATGCAGCACATATACACTACGGAATACTATGCAGCCATAAAAAATGATGAGTTCGTGTCCTTTGTAGGGACATGGATGAATCTGGAAACCATGATTCTCAACAAACTGACACAAGAAGAGAAAATCAAACACCACATGTTCTCACTCATAGGCAGGTATTGAGCAATGAGAACACATGGAGACAGGGAGGGAAGCATCAAACACTGGGGTCTGTTAGGGAGGCAATAGAGAAGGGACAGTGAGGGGTGGGGAGGTTGGGGAGGGATAACATGGGGAGAAATGCCAGATATAGGTGACAGGGGGATGGAGGCAGCAAACCATATTGCCATGTATGTACCTATGGAACAGTCCTGTACGGTCTGCACATGTACCCCAGTACCTAAAGTACAATTAAAAAAACAGTAATTCATAATATCCTTTCGTTAGTATGGCCCTATAAAGGGA